CAATTTAGTGAGCTGATTCACAGAGTGAAGCCACTTGGCTCATACACCTCTTCTCCTGAAGGAAATCTGCATTTAGGGAGGCAGCAGCCACCTTTGGAGCTACTCAATAAAAGTAGAGACACCTTCAGGTTAGGCTCAGTTCCTGGTGACTACAAAGCCATGTCCAGATGGTTTTGATAACAACAAAACAGAAGTCACTTTTTAGGAGCACCTACAGTGAACTAGTAGTTGCTCTCACTTGGATGGACTTGTAACACTGGAATAACAGAGTTGGAGGGGAGCTTGGAGATCTTCTACTCTAGTACAACCCCCTGCTTAGGCAGGAAACCCTGTTCCATTTCAGACAAATGGTTGTCCAATCTCTTAAAAACTTCCAGTGTTGGAGTATTCACAACTTCTGGAGGCAAGTTGCACCACTGATTAATTGTTCCATCAGGAAGTTTCTCCTTATTTCTAGATTGCTTCTCTCCTTGATCCATCCATTCTTGTCCCGCCTGCTTTGGAGAATAGGTTGACCTCCTCTTCTTTGTGGCAACCCCTTAGATATTTGAACACTGCTATCATGTCACCCCTAGTCCTTCTTTTCATTACACTAGCCATACCCAATTCCTACTATCATGCTTCATGTTTTAATTTTCAGTTCCTAATAATCTTTATTGCACTTCTCTGCACTCTTTCTAGAGTCTCAAATCTTTTTTTACATTGTGACGACCAAAACTGGATGCAGTATTCCAAGTGTAGTCTTCCAAAGACGTTATAAAGTAGTATCAGCACGTCACGTGATCTTGATTAATGCAGCCTAGAACTGCATTGGCTTTTTGGCAGCTGCAGCACACTGTTGGCTCGTATTTAAGTGATTGTCCACTAGGACTCCAAGATCTCTCTCATACTACTATTGACCCAGGTACCACCTATACAATACCTGTGCATTGGTTTGTTTTTTCTGGCCCAAACAAGATTTAACAATCAAGACATCATAAAATGTTACATGAAAAGAGGAAGAAAGTGTAAACCAGCCTCAGGTATTCAACATCTTTATCAAATATGCCTTGTGTGCAATCAGAATAAATGCCAGAAAGCTATTTTCACTTAGCAACAGGATAAAGTTTTTTTATCACGACCAAAGGAATTATCTAAACAGCCAGACAAGATAATGCTCATAAATCAATTGAATTTATTTTTAAACGCACAGGCTGAGGGATCTATTCGCATTAGACTAGTCCATGTGCAAATCAGTTAATAGGCAGATGTTCCAAAAATGAAGCTGTCTGGAATGAAAGAGCTAGTTTGGTCCAGTAGTTAAAGCACCAGGTTAAAAACTGGGAGCTGTTGAGTTTTTCCCGCCTTAGCTATGAAAGCCAGCTGGGTAACCTTGGACCAGTCTTTCTCTCTCAGCTCACCTCATCTCACAGGGTGGTTGTTGTGAGGAAAATAAGAGAAAGAAGGACCATTAGATATATTCACTGGCTTGAGTTCTTTATAAAAGTAATAAAGGTGGAATATAAATAAATAATAATAAAAAGATGCCTTAGCACACAAAGGAAGCTCCAAAAATTATACTGCATTGCCTAAAAGTTTGATTGGATGAGAAAAAGCGCCGAGTTAATGCCCAGTTAGTATGTATAGGAGCCATTCGGGCCTCAGATGTCCTTTGTGAGCTGCAGCCGCCGTCCATTGTCGATCTACCATTATTGAGTGCTCCTCAAAGATTAATCACTGTTTGGTATGCTCTGAACCACATTTGTTACCTGGCTCTATGATCACATTGCACATGTACAGAATTTGATACTTGAACTTAATCTTCCTGAGCATGCAAGTGTTAATGCCTTGTTTGTTCCCTGAAGTACCGTAGCCCATAATGCCAGGAAAATACATTGCAAGAGCGTGGGCATAGGTTTTCACGACATCTCAGAAGGCAAAAAAAGTGGCTGACTGCACAGTGAATGACATTTTTCTCGGGTCTCTGGATGCTCTCTTTGAAGTGACAAGAAATATAGCAAGTTTACTCTCTTTTCATAATTAATTCAGTTTTCAGGATTCAGAGTACAGATAGTCCTCAACTTCCAAGCACAATTGAGCCCAAATGTTCCATTGTTAAGAGAGGTAGTTGTGAAGTGAGTTGTGCCTCCCCCCCCTTTTTTTGCCACAATTGCTAAGTGAATCATTGCAATTGTTAAGTGAATCACATGGCTGTTAAGTGAATCTGGATTTCCTCATTGACTTTGCTTCTCGGAAGGTAGCTGGTCATCAGTGGTGGGATTCAAAAATATTTTACTACCAGCTCTGTGGGCATGGTATAGCATGGTGGGCATGGCAGGGGAAGGATACTGTAAAATCTCCATTCCCTGTCCACTCCAGGGGAAGGTTACTGCAAATAGTGGTCTCTAAACAAATGGTTATAAGTTGCAGCTGTACCCAGGTAGTCCTTGAGTTTACATCTTCCTGAGTTTACAGCTCCTATAGAGAACGGAATCCCATATTTTGTATAGGTGACCCTCTTTCTTTAGAGCAGTCTTCTCAAAGTTGATGTCTCCAGATGGGATGGGAATTTCAGCTGCCAGAAGTGTCAAAAATATTGGCTGTGCTGCAGTGGTGAAATTCATTTTTTTGTACTAACGGTTCTGTGGGCGTGGCTTGATGGGCATGGTGTGGCTTGGTGGGCATGGCAGGGGAAGGATACTGCAAAATCTCCATCCCCACCCTACTCTGGGGCCAGCCAGAGGTGGCATTTGCTGCTTCTCCGAACTACTCAAAATTTCCACTACTGTTCTGCAGAACCTGTCAGAACCTGCTGAATTTCACCCCTGCTGTGCCGCTAGGGAATTCTGGGAATTGTGATTCCAACCTGTTTGGAACAGTGTCCATGTGGGATACTGTGGACTACTTTTTTCAGGCTGAGAGCCATCCTTTTGGGGGGAAGGCTCAAGTGAAGCTGCACCAACTGCAGAAACTAGATAACATTTAGAAGCAGCTTAGGCAAAGACCTCCAGACTTCACTGGAGTATATATATATATATCAGTGGTGGGTTTCAAAATTTTTTAGAATCTCTTCTGTAGGTGTGGCCTGCTTTGTGGGAGTGGCTTGGCAGTCATGTGACTGGGTAGGTATCGCTAACTTGTAAAATGTGGTGAAACTCATTTAACAACTCTCTTGCTTAGAAACCAAAATGTTGGCTCAGAAATTC